ATGACTGCTGAAGCATCCTTGTGGTCACATGATCCAAATTCAGATCCTGGGCAACTGCTCATACTTATGATGGCTGCAGTGTCCCAGGGTCATGTGATTTTTGTGGCCCGCCAGCAGAGCGGACAGTGAGGAGGTTGGGGAGGAATATAGGCCAGTCCTGGAGTCTGGGGAAGGCTCTGGTGAGGGCTCTGCGTCGGAGGCAGAGAGGGGGCCAGAGCCATATGCCAGTTATCAGCTGCCTTCAGAGTCAGACATCAATGAGGCAGAAGAACAGCTGGAGCCTGTTCCCAGTGTGCGCATGCACAGAGTTGCCAGACGAAGGGAATAGCTAAAGAACAGGAGTCCACGGGAATAAGGCCATAGGTGGGCAATGAATGGCCCCTCCCAGAGGAAATAAAAGAGGAGCGAAAGAGGAGGGGAGTTTGCAATTAGTTCACTTAATTGGCCCTCTGAAACTCCTTGCCAAGTTCTGCAGCTATCGGCCTGTCAGTTCTCCAAGCCAGATAAGGTCTGTGACTGTAAATCCTCCCTCGAAAGACTTTGCTGGATGTGAATAAGCAGAATTCACAGGAAATTAATAAAAGAGTTTTTTTTTTTTGTCGGGACAAGGAGCTTGCTTCCTGTTCATGGGAAGCCTAGGTCAGAACAGTGATCATCTTTTGCAACCTTCTGACATGCAGAGTCAATGGGGAAAGCCAGACTCACTTAACGGTTGTGGGCATAAGTGGAGAATCACTTATAATTGCATGACACTAGGAAAAACCAAACTCCCTAGGAACTTAATCCATGCAGAATCTTATTAGAATTTAGCAACATAAATTTACGGCTCGAATTGTGATTGTAACTGCGGGATTAGCTGTATTGGTTTTTCAAGATTACCAAATATTTTTCAATATTTTTTCAATACTACCTAATGTGTGCTTGTGTTTCTCTCCCTCTTCGCAAGCATTGGTTCCTCTCTGCCTGTTTTCACATGTAGGAAAATGGTATTTAAGCTATTCCACTCGATGGAAGGCATCATGATTCCCTGAATGTTGGACAACTAGCAGGTGGGGACGAAAGGTTTTACCCATCCACCTGAATTGCTATTTTTTCTACGCGGAGGGAAGTTTTCTGTTCCGAACATTCTGCGGTGGGCGTCTTCCTTCTGCGAGCGAGGCGGAAGATCGAGATTGTGAAGAATTCCTAGAGAGTCTCTCTAACCTTGAGCAATCAGTTGCAATGCCATCTGTGGCTGGGGATTGAGAGCGTATTCTGCAACAGGCTGCTGTCTGAATGGACAGCTGTTTATTCCGACATTCCCAAAAAGGGCCCCATCTATTCTCCACAAGGAAAGGAATGCCAGCCTTGTCTTTTTATAACTCAAAGGGAGTTGTGCACAAGTAGTGACTGTTGGGCAGAAGGCTGCACGAACCTCCTTAAATTCATCTTGGATTTGACTAGAACTGGAGAAATGGGCCTTCTTTTTTGCCCAGAACACTTGGTGCACGGTGCATGGATAAAACATGCGCCTCCCTGAAGCTCTCAAATTTCTCTGACATTGACTTGACTTCTGGCAAATTTGCAATAAGCCGGTCACTGCATTGCACATCCTTCTTCATTCTGTGCAGTTGTTAGAAAAAGGCGTGGCCTGCCAAATTACGTTTTTCTTTTGATTTTCAATCTGTGGTCTCCAAGCTTTTTTGACTGTACACGCTTATCGGTTTTAATTTTTTAGCCACCGTTACGAATAGCTGTGTATTTATTTATAAACATATACATTTGCAGATAGTCCTTGACTTAACAACCATTCGTTTAATGATCTTTCAAAGGGCATTGAAAAAAGTGACATGACATGACCATTTTTCATGGTGGTTAGAATACAGTATTACAGGTTAACTCTGCCGACTGCCAGCAGTTCGATCCTAACCGGTTCAAGATTGACTCAGCCTTCCATCCTTCAGAGGTTGGTAAAATGAGGACCCAAATTGTTGGCGGCAATTTGTTGACTCTATGAACTGCTTAGGGTTACGGAGACCAAACCCCAGGCCATGAGCTGTTCAGATCTGGGCCACAGAAGCAGCAAGCAGTGTGCAAGTGCATCCCCACATGCTCCATTTGCACAAGCAGTGGGTGCACATGCCCATCAATTGCGCAAATGGAGCTGCGCATGCGCATTTGCCAGCCATTCATTTAATGAAAAGAAGGACTAGGGGAGACATGATAGCAGTGTTCCAATATCTCAAGGGCTGCCACGAAGAGGGAGTCAAACTATTATCCAAGGCACCTGAGGGTAGAACAATATGAGCCAGCCGTGTGCAGAGCTGCCAAAAAAGTCAACAACAGTTCTAGGGTGCATAAACAGAGGGATAGAATCAAGATCACATGAAGTGGAATACTGCATTCAGTTTTCGTCACCACGATGTAGAAAAGATGTGGAGACTCTGGAAAGAGTGCAGAGAAGAGCAACAAAGATGATTAGGGGACTGGAGACTAAAACATATGAAGGACTGTTGCAGGAACTGGGTATGTTTAGTTTAATGAAACGAAGGACTAGGGGAGACATGATAGCAATCTTCCAATATCTCAGGGATTGCCACAAAGAAGAGGGAGTCAAGCTGAACTCCCTGAAGCACCTGAATGCAGGACAAGAAGCAATGGGTGGAAACTAATCAAGGAGAGAAGCAACTCCTCAGTTCTGAGGAGAAATTTCCTGACAGTTAGAACAATTAATCAGTGGAACAGAAGTTGCCTCCAGAAGGTGTGAATGCCCCAACATTGGAAGTTTTTAAGATGATGTTGGATAGCCATTTCTCTGAAACGGTATAGGGTTTCCTGCCTAGGCAGGGGGCTGGACTAGAAGACCTCCAAGGTCCCTTCCAACTCTGTTACTTTGTTCTGTTCTGTCAGTTGCCTCTTGAAAAAGCACCTTTGGGGGCTTCCTCTTTATCATAAATAACTCAAAGCACTCAGCATACATAATACCCCTTCT